ATGATCCGTAAAATACTTGTGTATAGATGTGTTTTAAACGCATAAAGATTCATATGCGTACATAATGATCATTTATTTTTCCCCTTTGTTTAGACTTAATTTATGTACTTCTAAATGCATATACATGTGTTTATATGTGTAAGCACATAAAGTGCATGATCTTAGATGCAGATTTTTGGATCCTGTGTTACAGATCTGCAGTGTGTGTTTGCACTCCTGTGTGAATGGTGCTATTGAAAACAATGCAGTTGTGTTTAGATTCATAATTAAAAAACACATGCATATTTTTACGGCTGTGTGAATGAAGCCTAAATAGCTGACATGTTATTTTTAGTGTATTATTAATTAAACAAAAAAAAGACTGATTAGCATTACAGCTTACCAGTCCTTAAATGTGGTGGCTGCCTTTGTTTTTTTTTTCTTTCACTCTTTCTCCACTTTTTTCACCTGGTGATCCTGCCACTGATATGTTTTTCTGTCCTAGGGTGACAACTGATCAGCATTGCCATCCTAGAACAGGGAGTGTGTTAGGACTACGTACCACTGGGGCTTATGTACTAAAGCTGGAGAGTGCAAAATCTGGCTCACTTCTGCACAGAAACCAATCAGCTTCCAAGTTTTATTGCCAAAGCTTTAGTAAATAAGCCCCACTGTGTTAGGACTACATAACACCTCCCTCTGTTTTCCATAACAGAGGCGGTGTTATGTACTCCACTGGGAGAGAATGAGAAATTATTCAAACCGATTACAGTCCAGAGGCAGACAGCACAGGAAGTTAGCAGATCACAAGATTTCTTGCTGGATGAACAGATACTTATTTGAACAGGTTTGTAACCGATATAAGAAAACCTTTTCAGTGGTATATTTAACAGACAAAAAGGGAGCAAATAAAAGAAATGTTTTGATAGAGATTAAATACACTTTAAATGCAGCATCAGTTCTGCTTATGACACTGGTAATAGTAATGAACATTGCACTGAACCCTTAAAGCGGAGCTCCACCCAAAAGGGGAAGTTCCACTTTAAGGCCTGCTCCCCCACTCCTGGTAAAGAAATGGGAGCTTTGGGGAGCAGGTACCTGGTTTTGAAAGGTACCTGCCTCCACTTCTGCTCTGGGCCTAGGCGATCGGAATCTGAAGTTCTCTTCCCCCCCTTTCCTCCCTGCAGTCTTCTGGAACATGTGACAGGTCCCAGAAGACTGCTGGACCTTGGGTTGCCACCTCATCCCTTTAAGGCTTCAAGTGCACGAGCCTACCCTGACCATCGGCCATGGGAAAATGCAAATCGCTGCAAAAACACGGTTGCCGCATTTTGCAGCGGTTTCATGTTTTCCCATGGTTAGCGGTCAAAACGTTCCTATCCTGAATGCGATTCTTCCACATTCAGGAGAGGGAGGTTTAACCTCACCTAAACGTGGCAGCTCCTAAACTTTGCTAAAAGCCTATATGTACATGGACACATAGGCTTTTATGGAGTTCAGTTTAGGAGCTTTGGAAAAAAAATGGCAAAAGCTCCCATGTACATGAAGCCTAAAACCGAACACATAATTACACATGTTCTCTGGCTACCTTAGATTGGATGCTCCTTGAGGGTTAGGGACTGATCTGAATGTACAATATATATGTAAAGCACTGTGTTAATTAACGGCGCTATATAAGTACCTGAAATAAATAATAAATGTAACTAGAAAAGCTACAGTTTCTGGGGAAATTGTGTGACGTGTTCTTGCCTCTACCAGTAGTCTACAACTGGAGTGGGCGGAGTAGCTTTTGTCACTCTGCTGGCTGCTCACACACCTGGGTTCCTATGGCAACTCACCCTACAGCAAGGGCAGAGGAGCAGTTAAAAACAAACTGCTCCAACTTGCTCACTTCACTGGCGGTTGCCATCTTCAAATGGTTGTAGTTTTAAAACTGTAGATCCTACAGTGAAGAGCTTTATATTGTGAGAATCAGAAGACCCAGACCTACATTTTGATGCATAGTGTCTCTGAAATATTAAAAATGAAGGCACAGTCACAGTTTAGAAATTGCCCTTCAAATTTGAGGTTGCTACAGTGCAGTTTCAATGAATGTCAATGGGCGGCGTGAGTTGCAAACAAATGGTTATATTGTGAAAACTATCAGGACTATGGCTTAGACGTGGACATTTTTAGTGGCAGCAGGGATAGCTGAATGTTTTAATATAAGATTTGTGTAGGTGGGCTTGAAAATGAGGGAGTGATGGCAGTTTAGAGATCATGTCCTGATTTTTCAGCTCACACTCTAGCTTTTGTCAGCTCGCACTCTAGTTTTGAACATTCCGCCATTCATTCCTATGGGACCAATTTCACCACAAAAACGCCGATATTTCGTGAACCATTCGGCGAAACGTTCCACAAAGTAATAGCACACCAATCGGGAACAATCCGCAAGTTTCCGTATATTACTGTCTATGTAGTGTAAAAAACTGTGGGAGGAGTTAGGGTGGTAAATTTGGCTATAATAAGAAAATATATGTGAGATAACAATAAGTGGTCTTGCCATGCAAGAACACTTAATAAAATAAAAATAATTTAATGCAGATAAGGCACTAAGTGAGTTTTAAGCGGAGTTCCACCCAAAAGTGGAAGCTACGCTTGTTTGCCTCCCCCTCCACTGCCGTAATTGGTACCTTTTTGGGGGGGAGCGGGTACATGGTTTTGACCGGTATCCTCTCCCACTTCCAGCTCAGTTCACTGCGGTAAAGTGAACCAGAAGTTCAGCCCCCCATCCTTCCTCCCGCAGTCTGTTGGGAACCTTCACAGGTCCCAGAAGACTGCTGGACCAGTCAGGATGCGCAGCGTGACTCGCACATGCACAGTGGGCACCCAGCTGTGAAGCCACAAGCTTTCACAGCCTGGTACCCAGTTGAGATGCCGGCACCATGGAGAGAAAAAAGAGAAGGGACGGTGCGGGTGAGCACATCGCTGGACCTTGGGACAGGTAAGTGTGTGTTTATTAACCAATTGCCTACCGGGCACTTTTACCCCCTTCCTGCCCAGGCCAATTTTCAGCTTTCAGAGCTGTCACACTTTGAAATACAAATGCACGGTCATGCAACACTGTACCCATATGAAATTTTTATAATTTTTTTTTAAACAGATAGAGCTTTCTTTTGGTGGTATTTAATCACCTCTGGGTTTTTTATTTTTTGATAAACAAACCAAAAACAACTGAATTTTTAAAAAAAAGTTTATTTTCTTAGTTTCTGTTACAAAATTTTGTAATTTTTCCCCTTCACTGATGTACGTTAATGAGGCTGCAGTGATGGGTACTGATAGGCGGCACTGATGGGCACTAATGAGGAGACACTGGTAGGTGGCCCTGACGGACATTGACAGGCATCACTGGTGGGCATTCACAGACATCACTGATGGGCACTGAAAGGCAGTACTCATATATGGCACTGATAGGTGGCACTGATAGGCGGCACTGATGGGCACTGATAGGCAGCACTGATGGGCACGGATTGGTAGCACTGATAGGTGGCACTGACTGGCATTGATAGGTGGCATTGACTGGCACTGATAGGTGGCACTGAAAGGCAGCTCAGATGGGCACTGATATGTAGCATTGATGTGCACTGGTAGGCACTGATATGTGGCATTGATGTTCACTGATGGGCACTGACAGGTGGCATTGATGGACACCGACAGGTGGCACTGATGGGGCTACACTGATCATCAGGGCACTGATAATCAGTGTAGATGTCCCCTCTGAGGAATGCCGATTACTGGCTCTACTCACGAGCTCAGCGTGACAGCTTGTGAAGAGAAAAATGCCGATAACCGGCATTTCCTTATTTACATGCGATCAGCTGTGATTGGACACAGCTGATCACATGAGAGAGCCAAAGTCATCAGCTCTTTCTGCTGATCGGTGATCTGCTGTATCTCAGGGACACAGCGCACCACCGATCACCGCTCTGCGTGTCCCCGGGGGCGCGCATGTGCGGTTAGAGTGGGAGGATGTCATATGATGTCCTCCCAGAACAAGAAAACCGCCTCGCGCCCATCATTTACTTATATGGCGGGCAGAAGGCAGTTAAAAGTCAGCAGCTACAGTTTTTGTAGCTGCTGACTTTTAATAAGCACAAAAAAGCGGCTGGAACGCTGTTTTAATTACCACCTTAATCAGCCACAGAACCTGTGTAATAAATATGTGTTCGGTTTTAAAGGAATGAGGTGGCAACCCTAGCTGGACCATTCACAAGGCACAGCGCTACTTGTGCATGCGCAGTAGGCACCCAGCTGTGAAGCTGCAAGCTGTCACAGTCAGGTGCCCACAGTTACATTGCCAGTGACTGAGACAGGACACTGCTGGCAAGAATGACTGGGGTGAGCACATCGCTGGATCAAGGGACACTTGAGTTACTGTTTTTTTTAAAGTCAGTTGCTACAGTTTTTGTAACTTTTTTTACAGGAAGCTAGAGAACCGCTTTATTCCAGGAGTCAGCAGTAGGGTCATTATTATTATACAGGATTTATATAGCGCCAACAGTTTGCTCAGCGCTTTACAATATAACAGGAGACAATACAGCAACAATACAGTTCAATACAAGAGGGTTAGGAGAGCCCTGCTCCTTGGAGCTTACAATCTAAGAGGGAGGGGCTAGTGCTACAAAAGGTAGTAACTATGTGGGATGGACTAGTAGGAGGGTTGCCACCTCATCCCTTTAAAAACGAACACATATTAATTATACATGTTCTGTGCCTGAGTACGGTGTTAATTAAACTCACTCAGTACCCTATCTGCAATAAACCAGCCTCAGAACCTGTGTGAATAATATGTGTTCGGGTTTAAAGGGATGAGGTGACAACCCTAGTCAGCAGACAGCGTAGACCAGTCATTTGAGGGTTAACATGTACTGTATACAGACTGCTCCCAGGGAAGTTCCACCCACATGTCAGTTACACATTGCTTCCACTGAGTGTCTAGGAGGCAGGACTGGCTCTGTCCCAGACTGGAAAGGGAAGAGAATATGGCTTCAGAAAGCACCCCAGTCACCCAGCAAATAGGCAGGAATATGGAATGGAGGGCTGCTGATCTCTCTGATTCACTCTACCACCCAGATCTAGAGCTCGCTGCAAGTTGTCTGCTGAGGGACAGGAATGGCAAGAGCTTTGAGTTCAGAGACCTTTACAGGGATAGGAAGGCAATCATAATCTTTGTGAGGGTAAGTGATATTCCTGGGCTGGAATGGAATGCCCTTTAATCCGTATGCAGCAAAAAGTTACTCAAATCCTGTGGCCTCATTCACACTGGCAATGACATACATGCGTTTACATTGTAACCATGGTATAGATCACACTGTGCGTTTAGCTGTGTTTAAGTGCTTTACGTTTAGCTTCAATTCTCTGCAGCCCTGGGGAAAAATGAGATGCATCTAAACGCACGTAAATGTGTCCCAGAATAATTTTTCCTGTGCTTCAATTAACCAAATGCAGGAAGCTAATTCGAACGTAGGCTAATGATGGCTCTACACGATTCAATATTAGTGTTTTGATCAAATCGGCAAACAATCAAATAGCCGTAACTTTCCTTCTTATTGATTTAAAACCAATCAAAAAGAGTTGATCGGTCAAGGCGGAAAATGATTGATTGTCTTGCATCGATCGGCAGCACTGAGATACTTTGTTTATGAATATAATCGTATTTCAAGTGATCAGATTACAAAACTGAGATAAGATTGATAAAGACATGCTGGTAGGTTAATTGGATCCTGTCTAAATTGGCCCTAGTATTATTATTCTTATTATACAGGATTTATATAGCGCAGAAATAAAGTTTGCGCAGAAATGAAGGTAGACATTACAGTTACAATACAATTTGGTACAAGAGGAAACAGAGGTCCCTGCTCGTTAGAGCTTACAATCTAGGAGATGTGTATGTATGAATGTAAATTATAGGTATAGGATTATAACTTTTTTTTTTTTTTTTCATGGTTGAAGTGGATGGACTTTTGTCTTTTTTCAGCCAGACTAACTATGTATCCGTAGTACCTTAGATTGTACGCCCCTTGAGGGTTAGGGACTGATGTGAATGTACAATATATATGTAGAGTGCTGCGTAAATTGACAGCGCTATATAAGTACCTGTAATTAATAAATACACTTATGATTGTAAGTTCTGATTGTATCTCAGCTATTGATAGAAATCCACTTTCCCATGGACTGAGCAATTGACAGGTAAAGTAGCACAGTACTGAAAAGCAAAAAAAAATTCCCTGGTCATGAAGGGGGTCAAATCTTCCAGAGGGTAAGTGGTTAACTATAGATCAAAAGCCATTTCCCCATGGGTGGCATATCGATCAAATGGGTTATCAACAACAGATCGATTATTCTGATCAGAAGAGATTGCTTGAAAAATAAATCAATTGTTTATCAAAGTGTGTATGGCCACTTTAAAAAATGTCAATATTATATACGTTCAGTATATTGGTCTTGCCACAATTTTGTGTTATTGTAATTATGTAATGAAACTGACCTCACTTTGTTTATACTTGTTTCACATTTGTATTTAGTTCTGTTACCATTCAGTTGTACTATTTGTTTGCAGTTTGTGTTGTGTATACGGTTGCCAGGATACTGACAGTTTTTCCTGTTACTGGCTTTGTAGAATTTCCTGTGCTACACTTGTAAAGAGTACGTGGAAGATCTGGCCAAGATTCCCAAAAGTTTTCTACAGGTATGGCTGAAAGCTTGCCACTAACAACAACAACAATAATATAATTAGGATTGCTGGATGATATAAAATGTACAGGTCACTACAATGACTACAGTTATGTTATTACAAGTGCACAGCATGGGCTTTCCTTTCTTTGCATCTCACTGTGCTTCATTTTGGCTCTGCAACTTATCCACATGATAAGCGTTCCCATTCACAATTTTGTTTGTGCGAGTTTCACGTGATTCCTCACATCATGCATAGGGCTGCCCATTCCCTTGTATGAGCTGTCATGCACATTTGTCGCTGCAAAGAAACTCAGGGACCAAACTTTGGCCCTGAGCCAGGTGCATTTATACATGCACGTTTTGCCACAATTCTTGCTCGTTTTGTCGTGCAACAATCACAGCAAAATCGCACCACATTTGGGGTGGTGTTCAGGGTAAATGGCACCCAAAATGCATGCTGCGCATTTTGCTGTAATTTGGAATGATGCCGATTCTGCCCCCGAGTTCTAATTGCCCAAATGTGAACAGGGCCTTACCCTGAGTTCACATTATCCTGCATGTGCAGGAATCGCAACTGTTCCTGCACCCGCAGCCGAAACGCAGTGCTCTTGAGAAATACACAGAGCTGCCATTCATTCTGACTGGCACCCCCACACATAGGATTGCCACCTCATCCCTTTAAGCCTGGATTCACATACATGTGGTGCGGTATATCGCATGCGATTTACATAGGAACCGCACCACATTCCTGTGCAAATCACATGCGATTTGTGTGCGGTGCGATTGGAGCCATACATTTTGTATGGCTCTAACCGCACCGCACCCGCACCAAAAACGTGCAGGACCCTTTTTTGGCTCCGCACTAGAATCGGATTGCATGGGTATTCACACCTATGCGATCCGATTTTGCACATCGCACCACGTTTTACAGAATGCTTTCGGGATGTTGTTAACTTAACATACACATCCGCAGTGGTTCGCATGAACGGGGTGTGATTGTGATGCGGTGCGGAATTTGCACAGAAAACGCTGCGAATTCCGCACCGCATCAGTGTGAACCAGGGCTAAAACCGAATGCATATGAATTACACAGGTTCTGAGGCCAATTTAATGCAGATAAGGCACTAGATGAGCTTAATTAGCACCTTAATCCGCCACAGAACTTGTGTAACTGATAAGTGTTTGGTTTTAAAGGGATGAGGTGGCAACCGTACCCACGCATCTAAGCCCGCAGTGCGATCGTGGGTACGGGAACTGCAGGGAAACCGCTTGGTATAAAAGACCATGCAGTTTCCCTGCGGATGCATTTTTGGAAAGGTGCATGTACCTTTTTTGTGTGGGAAAAGTGGCACATCAGCCCATTCAAATAAATGGGCTGCCGTGCCCGAGCAAAAGCGGGCTGCATGGCCTGCACTAGTGTGCACCAAGCCATATTATATTACTATATCAATCACACACAGGGAGAATACTTTTTGAGTTGTTTGAATTTTTACAATATGCTAGCAGTGCAGCCAGATGAATGTATGCATGTTTGCTTTAGGCATCAGTGGTCCCTTGTTTGGCATTCAGCTGGTGTTTTTGAAGTGAAGTGTGACATACTCAGGGCTGCTGTTAGAAACCATGGGGTCTCATACAGCCAACGAGCCTCCCCCCCAAAAAAAACAGTTTACTATGTTTCAGTCATGAATGAACACAGTGAGTGATCAGTACCAATTACTCATTGTGTTCAGGAAAGGGCTGGTAAATGTGGCAGTACTGTGGTGGTGTGGGCACACAGGGGGGCTTGAGCAGCAAGGGGAAACATATGGTGCACAGGAGGGGTGATGAGTGCTGTTGGAGGCAATTATTGCAGGGAGAGCCATACAGGGGATCAGTTTCAGTAATTGCCCCTTCCCCCTCCCCACTATGCCAATCACCCTCCCTGACCACATCCAATTCACCCAACTGCCTGGGCCCCCCTGCTGGCCTGGGCCCCATACAGGAGGATTGGTGGTACCCCCTTATCCACGGCCCTGGACGTACTACTGTACATGTCAGATACATTGGCAAGGGCCCATGTGCACAAGCTCTTAGGCCCCATTCACTGTATGTGGTGACTGGTGTTTTTACTTACCTGGTCGATGCCATTCACCACAAGGGCTCATAGAAATCAATTGTTTTCTATGTGTCCTGTTCACATCTTAACACTGGTGTGATGTGCAGTGTGTAAAAATGCAAACCTACTAACTAAAAATTCTTCCTGCGCCTAGTAAAACACTCTAATACAGGTTCTATCCTGCTGCTGTGCACTGTGATCAACACAAACAATGAAAAAAAGGAAAAAACAGCGCAAACATAGACCTTTACATAAAATCAATATTACAAAGTGCAAACATAAGTGAAAAATTGATCAGTGGTAAAGTCCATCAAAATAAACCAAAGTTCAAAAAATATTAGTGCAAAAAAGAAAAAGAAAAAATATTTTCAATTCTTCTTCTAATATAGAGGAACTTCCACCTTCCACCCGTGAAAACCAATATCAAATGCACTCACCAGATAAAGGTGAAAAAAACGCCTCTTAGGAATTTTATGGGATCCTACACCCTCTTTCGTATCCACTCTATAGGAATCCTCCTCTCCACCATAGGCTCCACCATCCGACCAGGGAGAAAAAAATCTCAGATAGTGTAATATTGTAAGACACCATTCATAAGTGAAATCAAGGATTAAGGTCACTCACATTCAATTCAATTTAAAAAGGCATATTTATTAGGATCAGCTTCTTCCAGATAAACAGTAGATGCAAGGCAACCTCCCATGGAATCTCACATCACAGCTCCAGGTTTCAGCAGAAGCTCTACAGAGACACCGCATATACAGATCCCAAAAGATGGCCGCTGGAACGCACCGCTCAGCGTGCGCTCCACTCACCGGAAGTGACGTCAGACGTACGGAGTACAAACCGGAAATGCGTCAACGCGTTTCGCCCCTCCCATCGGGCGTTCTCAAGACCTCTTGGTCTTGAGAACGCCCGATGGGAGGGGCGAAACGCGTTGACGCATTTCCGGTTTGTACTCCGTACGTCTGACGTCACTTCCGGTGAGTGGAGCGCACGCTGAGCGGTGCGTTCCAGCGGCCATCTTTTGGGATCTGTATATGCGGTGTCTCTGTAGAGCTTCTGCTGAAACCTGGAGCTGTGATGTGAGATTCCGTGGGAGGTTGCCTTGCATCTACTGTTTATCTGGAAGAAGCTGATCCTAATAAATATGCCTTTTTAAATTGAATTGAATGTGAGTGACCTTAATCCTTGATTTCACTTATGAATGGTGTCTTACAATATTACACTATCTGAGATTTTTTTCTCCCTGGTCGGATGGTGGAGCCTATGGTGGAGAGGAGGATTCCTATAGAGTGGATACGAAAGAGGGTGTAGTATCCCATAAAATTCCTAAGAGGCGTTTTTTTCACCTTTATCTGGTGAGTGCATTTGATATTGGTTTTCACGGGTGGAAGGTGGAAGTTCCTCTATATTAGAAGAAGAATTTGAAAATATTTTTTCTTTTTTTCTTTTTCTTTTTTGCACTAATATTTTTTGAACTTTGGTTTATTTTGATGGACTTTACCACTGATCAATTTTTCACTTATGTTTGCACTTTGTAATATTGATTTTATGTAAAGGTCTATGTTTGCGCTGTTTTTTCCTTTTTTTCAAAAATGCAAACCTACTGCATTTTTCTACAGTACATCAGATTGCACGGCGGGTCATTGCACTAGAGAGCAGAGACATGAATGAAGTGTAAAGCTGGCCATACACTGAGTGAATTTCAGGCAGTTCCTGATGACATGGCCAAAATCTGATCTGTGGGTGGCCTTGCCGGCACCACTCCACCTGACCTGCTAACGGAAAATCGGAAGAGCCAGTTGGTGTACTGATGTCTGGACTGGGATTGCAGCCAATCAGCTGCAGTCACTGTTCCAATTAACCACTTGCCTACCGGGCACTTATACCCCCTTCTTTACCAGGCCAATTTTCAGCTTTCAGCACTGTCGCACTTTGACAATTGCGCGGTCATGCAAGATTGTACCTATATGAAATTTTTATAATTTTTTCTCACAAATGGAGCTTTCTTTTGGTGGTGTTTAATCGCCGCTGGGCACTTTACTTTTTGTGCTATAAACAAAAAAAGTGCAAAAAATTTGAAAAAAAAAGTTTCTTTTCTATTATAAAATTTTTCAAACAGGTAATTTTTCTCCTTCACTGATGTGCGTTGATGAGGCGGCACTGATGGGCACTGATAGGTGGCACTGATGGGCAGCTGGGGGTGCGCAGGAAAGCGCATTCTGGGAGGACGTCATATGACGCCCTCCAAGAACTGGCCAGCCGCAGTGTACCCGTCATTCGGCTATCTGCGGTCGGCAAGTGGTTAAAGATGGTCTGAACACGCCCCTGTTTGGTTCATGGTCGAACATTTGAGCCTACCAAAATTTTGACCGCGAACTTCAAACGGACAATTTACTGAGCGGTATCTTACCGTATCTGAGTATGTGGTAAGATACCACTCAGTCACTAAAATACCGCATGAGTTATATTATTAAGTCATGCAGTAATTTAGTAGTGAAACATTCTTTGCACCCCAGTCATACCGATACCGACTTTGAAATCGTGCGACTTACAGTAAAGTCTCACAATTTCAAAGTCAGCTGAAATGCCAATCTGAGGTGCGATTTGCAAGACACAGATATGTACGCAAATCACAGCAAAGGAAGTGCAGGCACTACTTTAGAAATCGGTGCGGCTCCAACAAGGTCGGAACCGCACAGACATGACCGCTGTAATTATGGACAATAGGGTGCAACTTGCTATGCGATTTGCAAGTCGTATAGCATGCAAATCGCATGCAAAGTTGCACCCGGTGTGACTGGGGTCTTAATATTTCAGCTGAATGTCAAAAAAATTGTTGGCTTTGACCGACAATTAAAAACAAATTTTTTTTAAACAGCGTGGGTCTCCCCCCCCCCCACCACCCATACCAA